CCCTGGGCAAGCCAGGATTGCAAAGCAAAATGTGGATGCTCAGGTATCTGCGTGCTGGATTCTGCACCTACGGGACAGACGTGTCCCCTGGGGGTGGCTCAGGGCAGGCCATGGGGAAGGGACGGGGTCTGGTGGCACCCGGTGGTGGCCTCCCCCCCCCCCCGCCGTGGCATGGGGGACCTGGCCGGGGAGGAGCACGCCACAGGGTTGTTTAAAGCATTGCAGGCTGTAGGCTGAAAATAACACCTCCCTCACATCGAGAATTTAGCATCTCGTGCAGGGCAAGGCAGGGACAGGCAGGACGAGGCACCAGCCTCCGCTGCGGCTGAGGGAACTGGGGTTGTTTAGCCTGGAGAAAAGGAGGCTGAGGGGAGACCTCATCGCTCTCTACAACTCCCTGAAAGGAGGTTGTAGCGAGGTGGGGTCGGTCTCTTCTCCCAAGGAACAAGCGATAGGACGAGAGGAAACGGCCTCAAGTTGTGCCAGGGGAGGTTTAGATTGGACATGAGGAAAAATGTCTTTACTGAAAGAGTGGTTAAACATTGGAACAGGCTGCCCAGGGAGGTGGTGGAGTCCCCATCCCTGGAAGTATTTAAAAGACGAGTAGATGAGGCGCTTAGGGACATGGTTTAGGACATGGTGGTGTTGGGTTGACGGTTGGACTCGATGATCTTAGAGGTCTTTTCCAACCTCAATGATTCTATGATTCTATGATTCTATGAAGCTTCGGAGCATCTAAAACCTGGAGCCCCGGGGGGGTGCAAAGCAACCCCCTAGCAGGGCCCGTACGGGCCTCGCCATCATTGCAAGCTCAGGAACAGCCCCAGGCGGAGCTGGGCCACCTGCTCCCGAGGGCTCGGCTCAGCCCAGGGCCGTGACAGAGCCCCAGAGCTCCTGAGGGCTCTTGTCTGAGCCTCCCTGCCCGCAGAGGCTGTGCAGGCAAAAGAAGGGCAGGGGAGGGAACCAGCATTAGCATTTGCTGTTTGAAGCCATGGCTACGCCTCTCGAGCGCTGATGAAAAATCAGAATTGAAGTGCCCACTTCCCCTAAAGTTCAAGAGAGAGCTCCCGGGCTGAGTGCTGGCAAGACAGGCAGCTGCCGGGTTTCTTGCCTGCACTTATTCCTCGCCAGGCTGGGGGATGCAGAGGGGAGGAGGGGACGGTCACCTTGGGAGGAGAGAGAGGAAAGCCCCGAGGACACGGCACCTACGGGGCTGACGGCTGGGGAGGGGACGGTGGGATCTCCCGGGGGGGCTCAGCCAGACCCCGAATGCCGTCAGCGATCCCAGTTTGGGGACTGGAAATGTGGGAACTGTGTTTTTGTAACACACACACACACACATACGTGTTTGTGCCCTCCCCGTGGAGCGGGTCAGAGGCTCAGCCTTGGGAACTGTCCCCAAGAGCCATCCAGAGCCCGTTTCAACCCCTGGAAACAGCTGGATGCCAGAGAGTCCCTCGCTCTCCCCTGCCCCAGTGACAACCGCCCACCGTGCCGCAGGGGGCCGGATCCTGTATCCCCATCCAGAGACCAGAGCATCCTTCAGGGCCAGGAGCTGCCCTGGCCCCAGGTGGGTGGGAAAACCCTCCCTGGGCGGGGGACCCTTGCATGGATGGTGGGGGAGCCTCCGGCAGCGCCCAGCTCTCCGTTTTGCCTTCCCTGCTCCCTTTCCGCCTCTGGGATTTCTCAGGGGACCTGGGGGGGGAGGGTGGGTGCATGGGGTGACATTTCCCCTGGGGACATGTCCCCTGTGGGACAGACGGACACATAGGGACGCCAGGAGCTCCATCACAAAGTGTTTGGGGCCAGGCTCCCTCCGGTATTGCTCAGACACCTTTGCTGAACTGGACTGCACAAAAATATCGGTCCAAACCCCCCGCCTCGGGCTTGTCCCACCCAAGTATGCCCCATTGCACCCCGGGGACAGCACGTGAGCCCTGGTCCTGCACGCTGCTGGCACGGTGCTGCCCGTCCCGTGCTCCCCTTGCGCTGCTCGCCGCCGCACAAGGTCACGCTGATGTTTTATTCATCCCCCACAATCCACTATGTGCCTTAATTGCAGCCACACGCACTTTGCAAGTGTAAATAATTGCCTCGGAGGCTTATTAATGACTTTGGCGTGCTGATGAGCACCGAAGCCCGAAGTGCACTCTCAGGGGTGTCTGACCCTTCCCTTGGCTGCTGGGACCCCCAGAAACTGGGGGGCTAGCACCCAAATCTGGGTGCAAACTGCCTTGAGCTCTGCCTGGGGAAAAATTCACACCTCAGCCCGGGATTAAAAAATTAACGATCTGTTAATCCAACAGCTCCACCGTCCTCCTCGTCGGCTCACGCAGGCGCGGGAGCGGCACCCTCATCCCCCGTCCATGGTCACCCATGGTCACCGTGACCTTACCTGCGTCCCCATTACGTCTCGCTGCCTCCGAACGGAGCCGCTGGGAGAGGCTGGTGGCGGCGAGGGACGGGCTCGGTGCCACGAGGCTCCGTCCCGCACCTCCTGTAGCCAAAGGTGCATTTCCCGGCCAGTCCCCGATGCCCTTTCCCTGGAAAACCCTCCCAGCTGTCGGTGGAGGTGCTGCCCTGCCATGGGCCAGCCTTCAGCATCCAGACCCAGCCGGGGAGCCGCTCCGGCCTGAATTAAAGGTCTTTAATCATCAGGCAGGTGATGGATGGGCATCAAGCCACCGTTACCTCCCAAGCTGGGGGCTGGTGGATTCAAGACATGCTGGAGCTGGCTGGGGGGCTCTTGGTGGACCACGAGGCTCAAGCTGGGGGGTGCAAACCAAGGCACAGGTCCCAACCCCGCTTCAGAAAGCAGTCTGTGCCGCAGAGACAGTTCACACCTTTATTGCTCTAGCTGGAGGGTTTTTCCCACTCCTCTCCCCCTCACCCCTTCTTCTTTCCCGGGGACACAGTTCCCTTGAGCCAAGTCCATGTGTCACAGATCCCTCCGGCATCCAGCCACCCTGCAACCACCCTGTCTCCCTCCGTGTCCTCCCACTCTGTGCACTTAGGTGAAGAAGGTGTTTGGGGGTAAAACCTGGCCCCCTTCCCACCCCCGGCCCCCAGGACAGTGGCACAGCCCCACATCCACAGGGCAACGTCCCTCCTGCCCCCCAAATCATCCAAGTCCAGCTTTCCCCCAGGGAAGGGCAAGCTGCCCAGGTCAGACCAGGCTCCCTTTCCAGGGATGTGTCTGTTCTCAGTGGACTCCCAGCGCACCCCAAGCAAAGGTATTTACAGGGAGGAACCGCTCGAATTCACCAGGGTCTTCCCGAGCAAACCCGCCTGTTGCCGTAGCCCGGCTCCCCGGGATGTTCAAGGGAGCCCGGTGCAAGGAAACAGGGAGCCGGGATGCAGGGACCGGCGCCGTCCCGTCACCCTCCCTCCCTACCCCGGCTGCCCGATGTGGCCGTCACAGCATCCCATCTCGCACCGCGTCCCCTCCAGCCCCATCGCCGGGCGCCGTCAGCAGAACTGCAGGAGAAGCAGAGCCGGGGGTGGGTGGTGAGCCCTCACCCCGCCTCCCGGCACCGTTTCGGGGGTCTCTGCCACCCCCCCGAGGCCGGGGAAGGGCTGGGGCACCCGGAGCCCCCCTTGCTGGGCACAGACCTTCCAGCGATTCCCGCATTCGTTGCACAGCACGAATGTCGTCATGGGCTCGTCGGCGCTGCGCGTCTGCACCTGGAAGGGAGTGGGTGGCCAGGTCAGGGGAGATCCCTCCGGCGTTCCCTGAATCGGGGTCCCCTGGGGACAGGGGGGAGCCCCGGGGGCTTTGCAGGGCTGACCTGGTTGTACGTGCAGTTCTTCTTCTTGCACTTGCCACACTGGAAGAGGTCGGTGACGGTGCCACCCGTCTTGGCCATCTGGTGCTCCCGGATGGCCTCCTGGGTCATGGCGTTCCTCAGCTCCTTCAGCTCATCGCTGGCCATCTCCTGCCACCGGCATCGGCCCGGCAGGGTCAGCCCTGCCGCGGCTCTGCCCGGGGGCTCACAGCCAAGCCGGCACAGGGTGCAAGCCGCCGTGGTCCATCACCCTTCCCATCCTCTCCAGGACCAGGACTGATCCTGCTCTCTGTGCTCGCTGGAGGGCTCAGACCCATCCAGATGAAGAAAATCACCCCATCCTCAAACCGAAACTGCTGCCTGCAGGGACCTGGCTCCCCGCGGAGGGAGCTGGGCTCCCAGGAGCCCGATTTGGTGACCCCGGTTGAGGAGGAGAAATGGAGACCCTCAAGCCTGATTCCTGCCAGTGTGACATCCCACACCCGGCTCTGCGATGGGCTGGGGGGCTGCAGGGCTCTGGGGGGACCAGGCAGTGCCCCCTGCTTTCTCCCTGTGCCTGACGCTCCCCGTACCCCCAGCCAGCACCAGGGTGGGATGGGAAGATTCCGGGACAAGCCCAGTATGGACACCACCAAGCCAACACCCAGCCAACCCTTGGGCACCAACACAGCTTCCAAGAGCAGAGGCAGGGCAGGGGGGTGTCTCACACCACCCCCCCCCCCAGAGG